TCTGAGTGCAGCATCATGGCAGGCTTTGTTAGACCATGGACATCTCCCAGGGGAAAGGAAGATGGGCTGTGAAAAACTGAAGCAGTGATGCCCCAGCTAATTTAGCTCAAGCTCGCCTTCCTCCCACCCCTATCACCAGCATGTAATCCCTGCTATCATTTTTAGAGTGGTTACTGTGTGGCGTTTACTGTGCTAGGCTTAACTCATTTAGTTTTCACAACAGTCCTGCAAGGCATGTCTATTATTATCCCCTTTCATCGATAAGGGAACTTAGCTCAGAAGCAAGGTTGCGGGATTGTGCAACTCCAAGAGATCCCATTCACGCTGGATTCCACGAGCAAATCCAGACAATGTAAGTGGCGTTGTGTGACCCTGTGGGCCTAGGGAATTTCAGTAAGCAAAGCCCAAGTCTGGTTTTTCCATACCTTTTCACTGCCTCTGTCACGCTTAGTAGAGGGAGCTCTGTGCCTGACAGGCTGTCGGGAAAGAACATGGTGGACTCTTGGTGGTAATCACAGGATCACTGTGGACTCTTTCTTCCATGTGTCCTCTCTACTCCTTTTTCTTTTCCACAGAGCCTTAAGTGGTAGATGAAGATGGGGTGGGGGGTAAAGCTGATAAAAAAAAAGGCAGGCGGTGGTCAAGATAGTGATATAGGAAGATCCTATGTAGTCACCTCCTCCCCTGGACACACCGAATCTATAGGAGCATATGGAACAATTTTCTCTGAAAAAGACCTAGACTAGCAAAACAGCTCCACCACGTCAGAAAACAAGAAAAGGCTCACACGGAGGCGAGTCGGAGAGGCTGAGATGTGGTCTCACCCTAAATCCCCAGCACGGCAACCCACCATCTGGATGGAACTCACAGGCTTCTCCCCAAGGAACGAAGGGTTCATCCCTCACATCAGGCACGCCAATTTTTGATAGCAGCACTTGACAAGTCCCCCAGACACCTGGCTTGAAAACCAGTGGGGCTCACAACCCCAAGACCCAAAGGGCTGTAGGGACCTGAGGACCAGCTTTTAAAGGGCTTCAGCCTCACTCTCTCCAGGGCCCGGTGCGGAAGCAGCCCTTTGAGAAGCGCACAGACTTTATGTGAAAAAGATTCATGTGCTGATCTTAAAGCCTCAGCCTACAGGGCGGAGCCCCGTACTTTTCCGGAATGGGGATGGAGACGCTGGCACTCCCTAAAGCCAGTGGAGTCCAGTTGTTTTACCCTCTGCAGGTGCCGCCTCCCCTCCGGCTGGCACCTCCCTAAAGCCGACTCCCCTCTCCCTGCACTAGCTTCTCCCACGGGGGTGCCCCAGGCTTTTGCAGATGCAGCCCAGGGGAACAGAGGCAGGGATGCCACCATCTTTGCACCCTCCCTCTGCCTGGCTCCAGCTCACCGGTATCCCCCAGAAAGGAGTTGATACACTCTTCTGGCACCCTAGTTTTTGCAACTGTCATCCAGAGGACACCTCCAGATCGCCCGGCTCTCTTGGCCAGCAGCAGGGCTTTTGCTTGCGTTCCCATAGCACTGTATGTATTTTACTGTATTTATATATTTTAAAGCTGCTGCCTGAGGGTCTGGCTTTGTAAACAGCCTAAATCTAGGTGCTGACTGAGGTCCCCCCGCCCACCTTTAGGACAGATAGGTCTTGGCACACCTCAAATACTGGGAGCCACGAAAAATAAAATAGGCTGCTTGGGCGATCATGAAGGTTAGGGAGATAACCAAAAGCTAGGGCAGGTTTGAACAATAAGGTTCATCTCCTACAACAAGAGCAATCCTGCAAGATCTGGAGAGGTGGCTGTCTCATCTAATATACAGAAACCCCACAGAGTCAGGTAAAAGGAGAAAAGAGGAATATGTTCCAAAGGAAAGAAAAGATAAAACCTTAGGAAGAAAACTTTACTGAAACAGAGATAAGAAAATAAAGCAGAAGAGCAAAGTGAGACTTCTTCCCTCCCCATCACCACTTTATTCCTCCACTTAAAACTCTGCTTCCTCTCTTCCAATAAGCATCTTCAGGTAGCCCCCAGGAACCCCTTTACTTTTGGTTTCTTGTGGCTTAGGATCAGTAGGTAGATACCCAACTGGCCATTTGACCACAACCCAGTTGCTTTATGGTGGAGGTGGATGTGAAAGGGTGAGGGGACATAGTGTCATCATTCTGCCCAGCGCTCAGCAAGCCAAAATGCTGAGACGCCAAGGTTTGCAGCAAAGAGAGGGCTTATTCGCAAGGCCACCAAGGGAGAAGCACGAAAGAGCGCATCTCAAATCCACCTCCCAGAAAAGCAAAGGGCTTAGGGGGTTGGGCTATTTATGGGATAACAAAGAGGCAGGGCTGGCAAAGGCGTGGGGAGCGTGGGGAAAGGATTGGAAAAATCTGCAGTAATCATGGCTCTGCTCAGGTGTAACTAAGCTCCAGGGCTCTGCACGTTCTAAAACGGAGACGCTTGGCACGCTCTGAGGGTGGAGTTTTCAGCCCCCTGACGTCAAAAGGTCACGGAGCGGACACTCACGCATGCCCAGTTGGAGGGTCCTGGTCCTATCCAGTCTTAACCAGGCAGCTCCAACTAGACACAGCTGACTCCAATTCCCGGAGAACAACTGGGGCAAACATCTTGTTTATGCTCTGTGCCACCTGGAGGACAGGCAAGTCTTTTGTAGATGACCTTGATTAGTGAAGGCAGGTGAAATGGATTTGACTAATGCTTCCCCAGGGTTTCAGCAGTCCTCCATAAGACAGCTCTCTATGGAACCTGATCAGTTACCAAGTTGAGAGAGACACTTCCATGTTTTCCACCACTTGTACCAGAGTGCTTGGAAGAGTCCAAGATAGATGGATTTTCTCCCTGGACACCTTGATCCAGAGGGGAGAGACACATTCTGCAGTACCTCCAAATGTGTACTCCAGTGGTCGTTTCTTTTGTGTCTCTGGACTTTTGCTTGGGTTTCTCTCCTTACTCGGAAAGTCTCTTCCACACCCTCTGACTCTATTTCAAGCCTCAGGCATCTTCTACTTTAGGACAACTCCCTTCATTCCACATATTACTGGCCCCAACATGCCCTTTCTCTGAGCTCCCATGGTGATCTGTATTTCTCAGTTATCTGTTCATGTGTTTGTCTTTTCCAACAATTTGCAGGCATATTCATCTTTACAGGCTTCCTAACAGATTGTTTGGCCTTTAGCAGAGGGTCAATAAATGTTTATTGAATGAGTTGAATGGAGGTTTAGAGATGCAAATGAGTTGAAAGCTAACCTTATGAAGCCTTAGTCCACTCCTATAGCTAGCCATCTCCAGGCACCTGACCCCTCTATTCACTGTTTCTGGCTGTGCAGGTGCAATCTGCCTAAGGACTGGGACCAGGCTGACCAATTATTAAAAAAAGCTTATGGTATGATAATAGCTAGCATATGTTGAGTGATTGCTATGCCCCAGGTACTGTTCTAAACACATTGCATAATCATTTAATTCTCACAGTTCTGTAAGGTAATCATCCCTGCTTTACAGATGAGGAACCTAAGACCTAGAGAGGTAAGTGACAGGCCAAGGACACAGCCAGGAAGTGGAAGGTCTGGCTCCAGAATACTCCACTGCTATGCCTCTCTCATTGAGGAAGACAGCGATGGCTGAACCTTAAAAACCTCAGTTTGATCCTGAGTTTGAATGGTGTGTCCTAGGTCATAAGAAGGAAAACATACTCCTTTTCGCTTTTCGCTAATCCCACGATTTCAGCTTGCTCACCTTCTTCATTTTATATAGCCCTTACACACAACATCACCACCACCACCACCTCTGCAGCGATTATCTTTCCCCTTTTCTGAATGAGCAGGGCTCCATTTGCGAGTGGGCTGGAAGTGTCGCAGGAAGGACTCCAGCAATTATGCAGCCCTGATGAAGTGCAGAGAAGCTTGGACTACAAATGAGATGCACATGAATTTATGAAACCTGGAAGGAACAGGGCAAAAATGTTGTTTTCCTTTCTGCAACAAATCTCTAAAGGGATGAAGGTTTCCTTAAGATCTTCAATCGGTAGGAAACTTATTTATGATGCTGAGAAACAGGGTGGTTTTCTCCTCAGATGAGTGAATTTCTGTTAGAGCCACAGGGTGAATTCCACGAGATCTGAGCTCATTACATAGCGAGGACAAAGTGAAAAGGAAGAACTTATCCAGAAAGTGTTGAGACTTAGATTCAGTTAAGAAGTCATAATATTAAATTAAAAAATTACCAAGAGGAATCTATGAATAGAGATTTATCAAATAATGCTGAAGCTTCCCCTGGGTGGCTACACAGAGCCCCAGAGTTTGCAGGGCTTGAAAATCAACCGAGCACATGTATTTTTAAAGAACTCCATGGGGATTTTGAACATCTTGACCTATTTTCACGTATGGTTATTTCCATAGCCTATGTCAGGAAAAACGGAAAGATATTTATAGTGATCAGAGCAAGGATTTATACTGAAATATCTATATGCTTTTTATTTGAAGGATAGAGAATTCTGGAATAGACATTATTGGAGAGAGAGGGAAGACAGATCTTTCTCTCTAGATATCTTTAGGAATAGAAGATGCACCTTATAATTTAGGAGTTCATCTTGGAGATGGAGAAACTGATTAAAATTTTAACAAGCTATCATCCATTCTGTGAAAATTTGTCTCTGAATCTGTTAATACGATTGTGACCAAAATGGCCAGAAGAGACAAGAGTCAGAAAAAAGAGTGTCCCCCAAAAGTTTTTTTTTTAAAAACTCAGATTAGACTTGCCCAAGTGAAAATATAGGTTACTTATTCCACTGGTAACTTAAGTGGGAAAAAAACATAACGGAACCAGGGTGAATTTTTTTCTCTTCCTATCACAGCTCCCTCCTGGTAAGTGTTGCAAGCCTGGGTGAATTTAGTATTCCTCCTTTATTTTCATTTTTAATAAAGGGAGATTGTGTTTGAGTGTGAAATGTGTATTTTACTATGGTTCTAAACAGTTTTAAAATTTCAAAGTAAACTAGCAAGGGAATAGATATTTATTGACACTGACCAAAACATACACAAATACTTCTGAAGAACAAACTGAAAACATTTCCTGGTTTATTTTCTCACACAGAGACCCATAGTACCCTGAAAGCAAGATGTGCCAGTTTTCCTTTGTGGAAAAGCACATTCAGGCAGCAAGCTTCACCGAGAGAGCAGTTTTTGTCCTTCAGTAACTGCTGGGCAGCGATCCCTCCAGTGAGTGGTGGTCTTTGGTGCTCCCGGGACCAAAAGGAGGCAGGGCCAGCTGAGAGAAGCAAGGGCTAATAAAGTCTTACTTCGGTAGCAAAGTGTTGCTACTAAACTTTACCTCGAACCGACTTGCTGGGGCCGTGCCTCTGGGCTGTGTTGAAAGATGCTGCTGAACTATGACTTCAAAGCCCACAAGCATTAGGACCACGAAGGTGCATCTGAACAGTCTCTGCCCCAGGTCCCAAGAGTCCAGATTGTGTCCACAGCAGAGCGGCCACCCAGTTAGGACAGGGGTCCAAATAGGGTACCTCTGTCGCTTGGTGACTGTGACAGCTCACCACCAGGGGTGACCCCTTTGATGTCCCAAAGACTAGCTAAGAAAAGCTCTTTTCCACATCCTCCTGGCCTTTGAGGGCCCTGAGGTCACGCCTCCTGATCAGCTGTTGTGATTGTGAAAATTTGCCAATTACATCACTCTTTCCATCCACAGTGCTTCACCTAGATCTTAAAAGGCATTTCAAAAAGCAAATGATCCCGTAGAAAATACAATATGGAATTTTACTCTAGGGTCATAACGACTTTGAACATATTTCTGCTTATCTAAGTTAATTTCTCCTCCAGGAGTCTGGAATTAGGTGTGATAAGTTAATGATGATACAAACAGAGTTGTTTTCAATAATTTAATTATTAGACTCATGCCCCCAAAATAAACTTGCACGAAATATTAAACATTACTCCTAAAGCAATTTGGACACAGTCACACACACATCAGGAAAGGAAAAAAAAATTCTCCCCCAAATGCCTGTATTTTGTTTCATTTGGAAAAATAACAACACAATTAGAGGTAAACAATAGTTTCTTCTGCTCCATCTCCAGTTTCGCCGTCTTGTCTGGTTACTCTCTGTAGATTTAGCTTTGCTTCCGCTATGAACGTCTGCAGCTGAGGGCCATGAGGATTTGAGTCCTGGGGGGGCGGGCATGCAGTCTGAGAGAGGTCCAAATCTGCAACAAACAGACAGCACAGGTCACAGGAGAGTCAGCTTGAGACCTGCAAGTCAGGTGAAACTAGGAGTCAGAGTCAGAGCCCTCGAAGATTGGGAAATGCTGTGGCCATAGAGCTAGCCACGGAGAGAATGACGAGTCCAGTGAGAAAGGAATGAAATGGATATCTAATGATTTAATCAAAATCACTAAAATGGTTGGTTGGGTGTACAAACATCTCCTGTGGCTAAAAATAACCTTTACAAAATACTCCCAGCAAAACCGTCAAACAAAAACTTGTTACCATCTGTGGGCTATTCAAACACTGCACCTGCTGAGAAGGGGGTGCCCAGTTATTTTTTAAAATGGGTTCAACGTCTTAGAAGTAGTTACCTACTCCAGCTGTGTGCAATAAGCCATATTTGCATCTGCACCGCATCTTCCCTCAGAGTAACTCAAAGTCAAGAACTGATCTGGAAGACTCAAATAAGGTACCTGGGACTTTCCTGATATGGGGAGAGGGAAGGGGAGAAAGGAGATGAAGGATGGAGACCCTCCAGCCTCACCATTATGCAAATCTGTTAACAACACACAAATCACTTAGCAAAAGGAACCAGGTTCCTGGGGGAAATCATTCTGGTAACAACTGACTGGGTTTGTTATTTTTCTGGTTACCTAGCAACAGCAGGGCACAGCCCATTTCCCCTTTTCTGATAAAACCCTCTAATACATGGTTTAAAGGAAAGGCAAAGGGGGATTTTGATTTGAAAAAAAAGCAAGGTTGTTGCTGCAAACCATATTCTCTGCATTGCTCCACTGACCATCCTCCCGGAAGCTTAGCTATGTGGGAAAATTACAAATAACCAGCTTCAGTTGGAGCAAAAAGCAGTCTACATGGAAACCCAGGTGGGGAAGATGCAGAGCCCTGAGGCCCACCTGTTCTTTTTTCAGTCATTAACAAGAGGTCATTCTAATCCTTGCCACATTTTATTCAAAGGCTCTATTATTTAGATGGATACACATAACTGCTAGCACTCTGATGACAAAAATGCTTGTAATTTTTACGCTCCTGACAAGGATCTTTGGTTACTAGCGAAGACAGGAAGCAAGGCCTGGCTAGAATGAAGAGCAAAATGTCCTCACAGGGCTCCACCTTCAGGGATGCGGCTTCCTTTGCTACACCCCCTTTCATCACTTCTTCCAGTAGGAGGCAGAGCCAGCGGGAGAGGGGCAGCCAGGGCCGCAGGAAGTAGACACGGGTCACCTGGAGGAGCTGACCTGTGCCTCCAAAGCCAGCCCAGGAGGACCCTGGGGGGAGGGGAGGGGAGAGGTGGGGAGGAGAAGGGAGGGGAGAACATGGAAGGGAGGGGAGGAGAGGGAAGGGGGAAGGGAAAGGAGGGGAGGGGAAGGGAGGGGTTGGGGAAAGGAGGTGAGGCTGCACTCCACAGCTCTGCTCAAAGGTTTAGGCCATCCCTAACTCTAGGTATCAATGGGGCACAAAGAAAAAAATCCATTTACATTGGGGTGACTTGATTCTGTTGATCCTAATCCCGTACCTCAAATATTGGGCTCTCACTCACTACTGAAAACATGACTACTGAAAATGCCTCTAAATCCATGTGTACGGTGCCTTCTCTGGGCACAGCAGCTGTTCCAGGCCTTTTACAGTCATCATCTCCTTAAGCCTCAAAATGTTGTAACGCACAATTTACAGATTGGGAAACTGAGGCTCAGGCTAAATTCTCGCCCATCGTGCATCTAGGAAGTAATCCAGATTTGAACTCAGAGGATCATTCCCACTTGCTCATCTGCTCAAGATTCTCATGGTCCCCATTTCTTGTTGTGCTGGAAATGACTTGACCATCTTTGCAGAATTAAGACACCCTGGATGTGTGATGCTTAACCTCCCTAAGTACCAAATTTTGAACACTTACCAAAAAAAGAAAGAAAAAAGACATTCTGAGCTCCTCCAAACCGAACCGACACAGTAATTACTATAAAATTAGGAACCTCCCTCATTCAATCAGGTAAACACACAAAAAAACCCAGGCAATGATTTCACTATCTGGGCAATACAGATCAACCTAGAATGTTCTCTGTCCTTCGCCTGTCTGTGGTCATCACACATTTTCACACTTTTAACTCCTTTTCCTAGCCATTGAAATAAAACCATTTCACCTCTAAAAAATAAACATTCCCAGTTAAACTACTGATGTTTAATATTATGCAACCTAAAAAACAAAAACATGCCTCAGAACTTCCATCTAGCAGAGGCTGACAGACTGGAGAACAGTTCACCTCAACCACCAACCACAGCGCTGCCTACTAGCCCACAGAAGGTCCAGCCAGGGTGCAAGAAGCACTACAGGGAGAATGAACAATCATCCATTGAAAGAGGCAGTTGGGACGCGATTGCTGACAAATGTGACAAAGCCGGGCAGAACGGAAGTCCTTAATCCATGTAAGTTTCCTTCCTCTGGGGTATGAAACATGTAGCAAAGAATCCAAAATACTGGTGATTCTAGGCATCTGGGAAGTCCCCTTCATGGTTTCAAGAAAAGACTTGTTCAAAAAGAGCCCAAGAACCAAATACATTTCAGAAAGAATTCTTTTATCTTAAATTGTAGGCTCCAGTTCAGGAAGATAGAGAACCAAGAGTAAACATGGGGGGAGGTTTTTCATTTGTGTGTGAGTATAAGGCAGGCAGAGAGAGAGATTTAATCAGAATTTTTTCAAATAATAAAAATACAGGACAAAAACATCTCCTGGACCCTAAAGTGAATCAATGGCCCACGTTGTAATCCCATATGTATTAATGTTGAGCTTGTGTGTCACCTGGAGGGGAACTCAATTTCTTTCTCCACGTTCCTTCTTGGTTTCTACCTGAACTACTTAGGCAAGGTCAGACAGTCTGTCTTTGAAATTAGAAACCGTTCTGTGATTTCTGATTTTATTACTCCATTTCAACCCTGAAAGGACTCCAGCTCAGCAACTGTATATTTCTCAAGGTCAGCCACCTTCTTCCACACGCTCTACCCTAGAGAGTATGATCGTCATATAGAACCCTAAACTGAAAAAACATTTGTTAAAATAAACCCTCGTTGATTCAGAAAGCAGAATTCTTGGGGAGTAGAATTAATCATCCAATTTTATTTGTGATCAAAATGCCTGTAAATTACTGGAAATAAAAATAGAATACCTCTTTTTTTGTGGAGAAAAGAACCCTCTTGTACTGTTGGTAGGAATGTAAATTGATACAGCCACTATGGAGAACAGTATGGAGGTTCCTTAAAAACCTAAAAATAGAATTACCGTATGACCCAGCAATCCCACTACTGGGTATATATCCAGAGAAAACCATAATTCAAAAAGACACACATGCACCCCAATGTTTGTTGGGGTTATTGCAGCATTATTTACAATAGCAATGTCATGGAAGCAACTAAATGCCCATCGACAGACGAATGGATAAAGAAGATATGGTACATACATACAATGGAATATTACTCAGCCATAAAAAGGAACAAAATTGGGTCGTTTGTTGAGACGTGGATGGATCTAGAGACTGTCATACAGAGTGAAGTCAGAAAGAGAAAAACAAATATCGTATATTAACGCATATATGTGGATCCTAGAAAAATGGTACAAATGAACCGGTTTGCAGGGCAGAAATTGAGACACAGATGTAGAGAACAAACATATGGACACCAAGGGGGGAAAGTGGTGGGGGGTTGGGGTGTGTGTGATGAATTGGGCGATTGGGATTGACATGTATACACTAATACATATAAAATGGATAACTAATAAGAACCTGCTGTATAAAAAAATAAATAAAATAAAATTCAGAAATTAAAAAAAAACAGAATACCTCATTTTTTAATAAGCAAAGAAATATTAACACAATCATAATTTGGTCAGATAAAAAACCAAATGCTCTTATGATGAAACAAAACTTCAAACTACAAAGAACCTTTTAATCTACTGTCTCAACACAACTGTCCCTCTTAGTTGACATAAAAGAAATAATTTGATCCTTCCCATACCTCTGGAAACTCAACAGAGTGAGCATTATTAACCTTAAAATAAGGACAAATAGGCTAAAACACATCAAAGCCTAGCTAAACCAAGTGGAGAAGTAGAATCTTGATGCACGTTTTTTTTTTCCTATTTAGCTGAACTTTTCTTCACAGCCTAAAACTTATTCCTTCACAAGAAATTTCCTCAGTCTCACTGTAGGGTCTAAGTCAGTCTTCTCATGAAGTTTCTAAAAATGATAAGTATACACATTTTGGCTGGTCCTATCCCCTTTGTCTTATGGGCGGGGGGCAGAAAACACCCAGGCCATGGGCTGTATGATGTGCTGATACCCAGAGACAGTTCCCCAAATCCCCCTATTTTTAGCCCTTCATTGTAGCCTTGAAGGGCTAAAAATGCATTTGTTGACATTTGCATTTATCATTTTCACACTTTGCTCACCTGCTATTGGAATTTCAAACTATGAAGGAAGAGAATGTGGGATCTGGATGACATACAACCATAGTGATTGGCACCTGAAAAGCTGACACCAGCGGGAAGAAAAATTGGCCTTCCCTGCATCAGCTCACCATCATTATTATTCTTTTGAGTCAACTGGATAATTGGTTATTTGCAAGACCAGACTGTAAAGTCAAGGTGTAAAATGCAACCACGTGTCACACTGAAAATGAATGAAGTGCCTCCCAAGCTGAGAAGTGAATGAAATCTTTTAAACCACAAGGTCAATGTAACCTTGGGCGGGTCACTTCCGCTCTCTGGGCTTCAGTTCATGAAGGATTGAACTGAAATCATCATTCAGGCCTCTTAAACTTCTTATACTGTAGAAGAATGTTTACACCTGTGTTTTGGCTCAGTAATGCACCAAATACTATTCTAGAAGTGCAACAAGTGAATGCATTTTTCAACTGCTTTCTGCTCAAGGAATACAAATGTATTACCTTAAGTTGCATTTAAAATAATGTTTTAAGGGTAATTTCCGGATATAT